GTTACTGGTATTTGCAGAACTAGCCATCTTAAAGTGCAGAGGATTTATAAGTTACAGCTATGCTCTTCATAGTACAGCACATTGTCTTACTTATTGCTACTCAATAGCTTATCTTAAACCATTCCCGTCCATTATCTTATTCGATCTTGACGGCATGTTTTGAATCAAATTAACATAGGTGCCTTTTCTAATATCTTCTCAAAAACTTTGATTTTGATGCTTCTTTATACGTATCATATATTTAAAAGGTAAAATAGAAGTTAATTTATGAATCTTTGGTGCCATTATTGATTTCAAAATAATCTCACCAATAAATTTGGTTCCAAATTCCGTTTATATTCGCTTATTAATTTAGGATGTGAGGATATTCAACTGCGCAAGTGTCTTATTAAATTGCTAGTTCTCGATAACATAGGGGCCAATTACCCATTATGGTCTCGCATCAATCTAGAAGTTTCGCCCACGAACTCTTTGCCGCCGACACATTGTAATAGCATAGGCCAGGTAAGAGGAATATTTGGGTTGTCATAGATTTTTCTAAATGTCCTTGCAACTGCTGAACTGTTTTTTGACGTTAGAGGCATAGAACATTTGAATCTACTTGAGACGTCTACGACATTAAGAACCTATTTTATTTACGTACGGTCTATATTTCGGCGTGAGTTTCCGGACATTTGCGTAAACATACCAACCTAAAATTTTCAACTGGGCCGCCCTTCTACTACGAATGCTAATCATACTTGGATCCATTATAATTAGAGATAGCTAAAAAGAGCGTTACGCTTTTTCCGCAACGTTCGAAGATATATAAGTAGCTCATATTCCATCGTTAAATCTTCATGTTATCATGTCTTGAAAACATCAAAAAGTTCGAATATTGTTGTGAATAAAATAATACTACTGATCTTAGTAGTATTCTCCTGCAACCCTTCATTATAAATATACATTTTATTTCTATCGTCAAAATAATTAATTATTAGGCCGGACACTCCAATAAACGGTTTGATCAAGCTAGGAAGCTGTCCGTAGTAGTAGATCAATTACGTAAACAACGGAACGAGAGTTCATAATTAATTATCGAGACAATTATTGTTTAATTAATTTTAGTAAAGACAAGTGACAAATACCGACTAGTCGACAAACAAATCGAA